TATCTCCCCTATGAGGCAATCCATGGGGGAGGCCTATGTTCAGCTGTGGACTTTAATAGGCTGTAATGGAATGAAATGGACATATATACTGGATGACCTTTTATACCGTCTGGCAAAAATAGGGTGTAACATGTGAACATAGTAAAAGCCTATGGTACTGATATTTTACAAAAAATAAAAACAAAAATGTTGAATTAAATAAATAATTAAATTAAAATCTATCGAAATTCAAATCATATCCACCCTAGTTTACGAACGCAATAAAACAATAAAATTTACTAGGCATCTTTGACTTTGTCACTTCGCAGGGTCACAGGCTCAAGGGCAAAGTAATTTGTACAAAAAATTTTCAGAAGAATAATTCAAAATTTAATTTTTTTGTAAAATATCAGTGCCAAAGGCTTCTCTTCTCTCCTCCTTTCACATCTTACACCCTATTATTTTCTAGATGGTAAAAAAGGTCATCCAGTCATCAGATCACTTTCTATCAGGTAAAATCCTACCGATCATAGCCTAATATAGTCATGTACTGGTCATTATAAGTAACAAAATAAGTACATGTAAGGATAACATTAAGTAACTAACTTATTCATCACTCCATTTTGATCAATCGGTTTTATGATGGACTCTGGTAGGTGGTGTGAATACTGGTGATAGGTAGCAATGAAAAGAATTGTGATTAAGGTAAATGCTGCAAGTAGAGAGACCCAATCTTAGCTGTGGACTGACAGGCAGATAAATAAGAGGCTTATCACTTATAAGATACCATAATTTATATATTTATTAAGATAAATGTATGAAAGAAAAAATTAAATCCTTTTGAATTTTAGCTAAATTGTATGATGATTATAAAGGTAGTTATATTTTGTAATTACCTGTTTTCAGCACTTAATCGGTTCACTGCTGGACGTGGAGCCTCTGCCAGATTGGGGGATTTGGCGTCACCTTCTGACAAGTACATTGACAACTGCTGCAAAGACAATCGCACCGCTGAAGCTGCTCGCTGTTTTTGGTCTGTTGTTTTACTTTAGGCATTTTTGAAATGGTTATTCCACCATCTGCCAGATGAAACCAGATTTATCTGACCTTCAATTGACACTTATAATGTGATATTGATACATATACTGAAATTGTATTACAACATCGAGTTTGTGGCAAACAGTCACCAGCCAATATTATTTTATTATATTATTTATTATTATATGGTCCTTCGAGCCGGATTTCTGAATTTTAAGTTTGACCAATTGTAAATTTTTAAAGTTTATAAGATATTATAACTGAATAAAATATGTTTAAGCTTTAACCTGAAAACTCACATATAGTTAGAGTCGACAAGGAGTCAAAAAAGGAAAATTATAGTACTAGTATAGCTTGAGTGCCATAAATGTATTTCTTTGCTTGTTACTAATCCAGTGTGTTGTTCAAATTATACCTTATATTGCAATTCATTAATTCCAACGCATTTGCACATTTTTTTATCAATTCTGTATTATAATTGTATAATTTAAAAACAAAATAAACATTGCTGTCTGTAATCTAACATGATGTATGGTTTACAGAAAGTCACCAGAATTTCTTTTTTCAAAATTAGAATATGGAGATATGTCACACATAAGATAAACATATAGTGTAAATATCATACTTTATGTTAGTTGAATAGTAGTATATATTGCTTAAATACATAGTATGCCTCCATAAAATATGTTTGACGAACCTAATCCGCCGTATGATTACGTAACTTCAATAGGAATTGCCCCAAAATTGTGTTATGTGTTTTCATTACTATACTATTTAATAATCTAAAATGAAATAACTTGCTTATTAGCAAAACAAAACGTCAAACGAAAGCAATCTATGTGAATTAAAGTTTTAAAGTAAAGGCAGAATTGGCGATAAATGAGTTCGTCTTCCTTCGGAAACCAATGCATTTTTTTGGTCTCTCGCCAAGGCTGTCCAAGGGAATTTCTGTAAGCCATCACTACCATCTATACACAGGAAGGACGACTCACTGGCCCATGCCGCAAACGAGAAAGCCGATCTGCTAGGCTCTTTCTATGTGCGTACTACCCGACTTTCGATGACGAGGCGAGTATACCATCGACCCTCCCGCGATTTGAGTGCTCCATGTGGGATGTACGGTTCACACAGCGCTCAGTTCGCAAAGCACTCCTCTCCCTGGACATCCACAAGTCGAGTGGTCCTGACGGAATACCCCCAATTGTGCTGAGGATGTGAGCTCTAGAGTTCCCTAGGCGTAGTCCCAAAATCATGGAAGACTGCTTTCATCCACCCGATCCCTAAAAAAGGCGATTGCACAGATCCGTCAAACTACTGGCCTATCGCCATCACTTCCTTGTTCTCCAAAATAATGGAATCCATTATAAACTGCCAGCTCATATGGTACCTTGAGGATCACCAGCTGATTAGTGACCACCAGTACGGTTTTCGTCGGAGTCGATCAAGTGGTGATCTTCTGGTCTATCTGCCTCATGGATGGGCGGAGGCAGTAGAGTCCAAGGGGGAGGCGTTGGCCGTTAGTTTGGACATAGCGAAAGCCTTCTATTGGGTTTGGCACAAAGCGCTTCTCTCGAAGCTTCCTTCCTATGGGCTTCGCGAGAAACTGTGCAATTGGATCACCAGTTTTCTGGCTGATTGGAGCATCAAGGTCGTAGTAGATGGTACATACTCCGATTACAAGCCTGTTAACTCTGGTGTTTCACAAGGCTGCGTGATATCGCTGACACTGTTTCTTCTGTATATCAATGATATGTTGCAAACTGGTAATTTCATTGGTGGTAAATTCATTGTTATGCGAACGACAGCTCTGGCGATGCTTAATACACCGGCCGTGCCAATATTTCTCAGGATAAAATGTCATCAACAAACTTGTGTCTGAAGGCGAAACATTGTAGAACATAGTCTCGGATTGGGGCCAACTAAATCTAGTCCAATTCAATGCCCAGAAGACACAAGTTTGCGCGTTTACCGCTAAAAATAACCCCTTTGTCGTATCTGCTCAGTTTCAGGCCACTCCCCTTCTTGCCTCAGCCAGTATCTGAATCCTCGCCGTCGACATATCGAATGACGTGCAATTTCGTGTTCACTTGGCAGAGAAGGCTAAACTAGCCTCTAAAAAGCTTGGTGTGGTCAGCAGAGCGGGGCAATATTTCATTCCGGCATACCGCCTGCAACTTTACGAGGCACAGATTCGGCCTCACATGAAATACTGTTCCCATTTCTGGGCTGGGGCTCCCCAGTGCCAGCTCCTTCCATTTGATCGCATCCAGCGCAGAGATGGTCCGAATCGTCGGCGACCGAGCAATTTCTGATCGGCTTGACTCATTGGGGCTGCAAAGAGATGTTGCACCTCTGCGTATTCTACCGTATTTACCACGGAGGGTGCTCGGAGTAATTGTTCGGATTAATTCCAGCCGCTCAATTTCACCATAGCACATTGCGATAGAACTCGAGATACGATCCTTACCACCTGGATGATTGGTGGTCCACTACTGTGCGATTACAAGAAGTTTTCTCCCTCGCACAACTTCTTTGTGGAATCGATTACCACCAGCGATTTTTTTTGACCGTTACGACTTAGGGACTTTCAATAAAAGAACCTACTCTTTAAGGCCTGCAACGCATCCGCAATTTTCCTGGTGTTGTAGTTGTTCATGGGCGGCGGTAATCACTTACCATCAGGTGAGCCGCATGCTCATTTGCCCCCACTGGTATAAAAAAAGTCCTATGGTTGACTGTTTTTGGTGTTAAAGTAGCCAGGTGTACGGCTGTAGCCAGACTTGTTTGACTTTTTATGGTCATGGCTGGCTTTTCAGGCTGTTAGGCTGACTGTTGATAAATTATGGAAACCTAGTGGCCAATGTTATACAGCTTTAAGCAATTTAGAGATGGTGGGATTCTCCCTCTGAAGGCCTATATATATATATGCGTAACGTAAGCAGGGGAGTCTTAAGCATTCATGATTATTCAAGAAATAATCAACCTTACTATCTTGTTACCAACTTCAAAAAGGAGAAGGTATTCAATTTGACTGTATATATTTTTTATTTTAATAATGTGTGTTACCTCATAACTTTTCTCTGGGTGAACCGATTTTATTTTCTTTTTTTATCTGCAAGCTGGTTCTTCTCGTATGGTCCCATATAAAGTTAATCAAGATCTGACCAGTAGATCCACCAACAGACCCTCCCAGAATCCATGACCAGAAGTCGGTTGTACAAAGTTTTTAATTTTATCACATGTTAAAGATTAATAATTAAATTAAAAAAATAATTCAATACCAATAAAAAATAATTAAATAATTTGCATTAGCTTTTGTAGTTGGTGCTAAGAGGTAGTATCGAAGATTTAACGCCTCAAGTCAATTCTAAAAAAATATTTATTAGTTATCAAAAAATTCCTGAAGTTAATAAAAACATTTTGTCAGTATTCAGTCACGTGACCTTTTAAACGTCAACTAAGGCAGATTTTTAAGTATTTATTATAAATTTTAATGTCCATGCAATTCTGAAACTATTTTTTTATAGACCGAGGGTAACAAACGAGCACACAGTCCATCTGATGGTAAATGGTCACTGTGGGCCATAGATATACCTACATTTATCATCAAATTAGAATCAAAATGTAGATGCATTGTCACTCCAGAGCATTAAGATGGTATGCCTCATTTCTTGTTAAAAGGGTATTAGGTTCACTACACTCACAATACGAAATTCAGCACCATTAAACTGCTATTTTATGTTGGTATTCTGTGAGAGCGTGGTCCTACCCCAGTCGAGCCGTCCCATTCGTGCTACAATCGTAATATAGCTGCAGCATGGCTTTACCACATAAATTAAAATAGTTAAATAAGTGCATAAATAGTCTCAATCGTACGTTGAGCCATTTCATTCTACCTTGATTCTTCTTGCCGTACAATGGTATATTTATAATATAGTTTTTCTAATGTGATACATTGGCATTTTTCAGTTAACAATAACAAGATGGCCTTATGTGAGAGTCAATTGGATTCAGCGTTGCCACAGTTGAAGCAAGAGGAAGGGTCCTCGCCCAGCAGTGAGAGTCAGGAGTCCCCTGAGAAGAAACCAAAGCTGGAGCCCAATGGAGATATATATGGGCTTAACAAAGGTACAATGTGTCTAAGTATAGTAAAATGAAGTTAGAGCTGTAGGGTAGGTGGTGAAAAATAAACGCCAATCGGTGTGTATTATAAAGAAGCGGTAATATATATATATATATATATATATATGATTCGGTTGGTTGTGTCTGGTCATGAGGTCCTGGGTTTGAATCCCGGGTCGGGCCAAAAAATATCAGTTATTGAGTTTTTCCGGCAAAAGACTCAGTATCTGCCCGAAGTCAGGAAGTTGGGTGTCTCATCCCCGTGCCTCGGAAAGCACGTAAAGCCGTCTCCTGCGCCTGATCTCTCTATATTTGTGTCAGTTTACCGCCCCATCGGACTGAGAGTAAGGGAATAGAGTTCACCTGTGCTTGCGCATACACTTGGACGCTATATTCCTGTCCTGTGCCGATAGCTAGTCTCCGTTGAGGCTGGCTGCCGTGACATTATATTGTCCCACGGTATGATACGGTTGGATTACTTATAGTATTATTACTACCTTAAGTTTCTGTTGAAGCATCGGAAACGACTGCAGTGACTATCTATCTCCTAGCTTAGGGATCTATCAGACAGAAGGCGTTCAAGCGTTCCGCGTTCGCGTTCTGCGTTCATTGTATTGTATTACGTTACATAGACATACCCAGACAACAGGCATTCTGACCGCGTCGGTCAACCAGAACATGGGTGTTTGTGATTCGTGAGCAACTGAACGCTCGAACGCAAAACGCGAACGCGGAACGCTTGAACGCTTCCTGTCTGATAGAACCCTTATAGTGACGTAATTTAGCGAAGGGTTCCCTGGCTTTAAGCACGAGAATAGCAACGGCTATCGTACTCTGTTACCTAATACTCTTCCGTGCTGGTGACTGCAGCGGCTATCTGGCCAGTACCGTTGCTAGCTAAGTAGTGACAATTATCTTCGCAGCGCGTAGCCTACGTAGGGCTCCGCCGCCTGGAGGAACACTCTTGGTGGCTTGTATGCCGCGCCCACACAGAAAGAATATTCGTGTTATCGCGATGTATGTGACCACGTATTCGTGAATACTTCCCTTTGTGCAAAGTCGCAAGCACACATCGCTTCGCTGTCGGTAAACTCTTGAACATCAAAGCATTTTATCGCCATGAACTTCGCTTGTCACACTAGGCAGCGCACAGATATCGTGCGTAGCGGTCGTGTAGAATTAAATTAGGATGTACGAGGTAGGTACGGCAATTTCTTGAAGTAATGAGAAGATAAATAATTTAATGAAACATTTGAAATAAATAACACAGGCGTCTAAAGCTTTTGTAGTTGGTGCATTTTTTGCTACGTTTTTTGCCCTGTAGTCTAAAACGTAGTGAAAAATAATTATTCGATATCATGTAATATAGAGGCCGGCGTATTTATGGTGTTTATCGAGGTAAACTATCGATAAACTTTATAACGCGGAGTGTGGCCAGGTAGTCCGAGGGTTAAGTTTTATCGCCGGATTTCGTCGTTATATCGACGGAAAACGTAGTGAAAAATAATTATTCGATGTTATGTAATATAGAGGCCGGCGTCCATTTTAGTTTAGCGTGTGTTTATCGAGATAAACTATCGATAAACTTTATAACGCGCTGTGTAGCCAGGCACCTTCGCCGTAGTCCGAGGGTGAAGTTTTATCGCCGGAATTCGTCGTTATATCGACGTAAAACGTAGTGAAAAATAATTATTCGATGTCGTGTAATATAGAGGCCGGCGTCCATTTTAGTTTAGCGTGTGTTTATCGAGGTAAACTATCGATAAACTATAACGCGCAGTGTGGACAGGCACCTTCGCGGTAGTCCGAGCGTGAAGTTTTATCGCCGGAATTCTATCGCGAAGCGTGTGACCTAGGCAGTAGTGGGCTAGTGGGGTCGCTCCGAGCGAAACGGATAGTAGTGTGCGAGCGGGTATTCGAGTATTCGACGCCGCGTTGCGCGTGGAATGCTTGTTACACAGCCTATATACTATACGTCCCACTGATGGGCACAGGCTCTCATTTCTAAGAGGGTTTTAGGGCAAAGAAATCTCCGCCGCGCTGCTCCAATACGTGTTGGTGAACGTTACATGACTTCGAAATATTTTTCATCAGCTTTCCTTACGATGTTTTCCTTCACCGACGAACACGTGCTAAATCAGCAGTTAAAATTGCAATTACCAGTTTCATTGGTGCCGACGGAGATTGAATCCGGGATTAATCGCGCGTGGCGCTCTTAGGCACTGGACTACCACGGCTGAATGGTAATGTGTCTCTGTTAGATATATAACTAAGCTACTTTTAATTAATAATCTAAGGGTTATTTAAATTTGGTGCCTTCGTCCTTGTATTGGTATTTTTTTAATGATTTGTTTTTTTTTGTTGATGTTTTGTAGGGCGTATTGGTCTCTAGTTATGTTTGCTTAAGTTTTATTTTATTCATCTACTTTGAGTATATATTTGAGTATAAATACAGGTTTATTTTTCAAACAGTGGCCAAATTTTATACTTAAATTCAAATATGATATAAATAATGATACACCATTATTGCAGTTTTTGAAAATACGTATAAATAGGGTGTCTACGTTTTTTTGAAATTATTCTAAATTGAATGTAATTTATGGTCGGTGACTATGCGCATGCGCGCTTTGTGTGCGATTTTGCCGATAGAGTGGCCCTTAAGCATGTGTGCGTGCGTATTAAAATACTAGGCGTTAGATTTTTATGAATGACAATCAGTTAAAATAATGCATTACCATGCATTCTGAATTTAAAAGATAAAAAGGAGAGAATGTTTGAGATATTTCTTAAATTAATTTTTCGTCACCTTTCGCATATAGTACTTATCTGAAACTTCTCTGCAAATTTGACCGTATAATGCAAAATAGCCCTGTATTAAATTTACTGGTTTCGGTTAAGGCTCTTTAGTACGGTGTGAAGGTAAGAAAATGTTACGCTTAATTTTACGCTATAAGCCAGATAAGAATAATATGGGGTTTACTTGACTGCTTCATTGGTCTAGTGGGTAGTAATGCGACTGCTGATCTGTCTTGGGTTCGAATCCCGGGTCGGGCCCAAAAATTAATTATTGAGTTTTTCCGTCAAGAAATTCTCAGTAGCTGCCCGGAGTCAGGAAGTTGGCGGTGTCTCAACCCCGTGCCTCGGAAAGCACGTAAAGCCGTTGGTCCTGCGCCTGATCTCTCTCCGGTCGTGTCGGTTTACCGTCCTATCGGATTATGAGAGTGAGGCAATAGAGAGTGCACCTGTGCTTGCGCATACACTTGGGCACTATAATCCTGTCCTGCGCCGATGGCTAGCCTCCGCTGAGGCAGGCCGCCGTGGCCGGAATTCGGTCTGGAGGACATTATTATTAGGTTTACTTACAACTTATCTCTCGAACTTCCATCGGTATGCGTAATTTACTTGTGTTTTACTTTATTTAACTGCGCCAAAAAGAATAAAATAAGCTTTTTGTTTAAAACTTTTACTATTAACTTATAATGTCATTATTAGACATCGGATTATATGCACTAACAAAGTGCCAAAATATGCAATAATAAAAAACCGGCCAAGAGCGTGTCGGGTCACGCTCAGTGTAGGGTTCCGTAGTTTCCCGTCCGTCACAATAAGTGTTCCCACTTATGAGTTTAAAGGTAGGTATCCGTTATGTTCGCGCTCCAGCAGCGTTCCGCGCTCCTGCAACTGCTCCCGGTAGTGGGTACTGTTGTTTCCATCCAAGTTCAAAATGATTTTCCTAGAAAGTCCTTATAAAGTTCTACTTTTCAGATTTTTTTCATATTTTCTAAACTTATGGTTCAAAAGTTTGAGGGGGGGGGACACACGTTGTTTTTTTTTACTTTTGGAGCGATTATTTCCGAAATTATTGACATTATCAAAAAATGATTTTAGTAAACCCCTATTCATTTTTAAATACCTTTCCAACAATATAGGGGAAGTTCAGGTAGCCCCAGACACTACAATCAATTGCAAATAAAAATATTAATAAACAAAATTTCTGTCTTTATTTTACACTTAAAGTAAAGCTAGGAACTTCTTTAATCATAATAATTAAAATTATTAATCATATCATTTTTTTTAAGGAAATATATTGAAAATACTTTGGTCTCATTTTTTTTGACGATACAAAAGACGGCGGGTAGCCCCGGACATAATAATCAATACTGGCCTAATCGTTTTTTGGCCTTACAAACATCACAATTAAAATAAACATCCGAAGAATCTATGTAAACACAGTCTTCATGGGCCCAGTTTTTGCATTCCTGGCACTGAATCCAGTCCTCTTCAAATGTTTCTCCACATATGATGCTCCACATATGATCGGTCTCTTCCTCTCCATTTTCTTTGGAAAGACTTTGAATATTTTTAGTTGTTTTTAACATCTTTTTTAGTGCCTTTACTTTTTTGTTTTTTCGGTTTTCTGTCTCTACTTTTCTGTCTTTCCTCTACATCTTTTTTGTAAGGTGATGATGTTATAATCTCGCTCCTTTGAGTTTTTCGAGCCCGCTTTAACGACCGTTTTTTCGATGCGTCAGGAAATGGTGATAGCTGTTTCAATATATCTGTTGAGCTGGTTGAAGACTCCGGTTCATTTGCAGGTAATGCATGACTAGTGGAGGGCACTGGCGAAGAATGTGCTACTGATAACTGATTGGCCATATTTTCTTTGGAAGAAACTTCTTGCATCACATCTGTCATCATTGATGGTAAAAAATCAATGTCAGTAAAGATTTCAGGGTTAAATGGATAAATTCCTGTGCACTTGAATCCGTTTTGTGCTATATCCAACCTTGCTGCTCTGCTAAAGGCTTCGTCCACAAGTGCAGCAATATCATAGTCAGTGATTCTAGCTGCAGGATTTCGCCTCATCCATGCTGAACTTGCAGTTGCAAATGCAGACTTAAAAGGTTTAAAAAAATGTCCTGTCCAACGGCTGTAATTTATGAGTTGTATGAGGTGGTGTGCTCAGCATATGAATGTGATGATTACGTGCATATTTTATAACTGCCAGCTCCTTATGACTAGCGTGGCCATCCAAAATTAAGAGGACAGGATTTGTTTCTGTTGGCTGAACATGTTGTTTAAAATGTTGCAACCATTGGAAGAACACCTCACCATTCATCCATCCGCTCTCTTGAGGAGTAGCAATACTATCTGGTGGAGCTCCTATCATCAAGCGACCGTTCTTATCCATTTTCTTCCGAGGAAAAATGAAAAGGGGTGGTATGAAATGACCAGTGACATTCATCGCAAAAGTTAATGTGATGTTTCGACCTCTTTCTGCAGATGTTAATTTACCAACCTGTTTTTTTCCTTTTATCGAAATGACTTTATCATTTTTATGCACATTTGATACCCCTGTTTCATCGGCGTTGTAAATTCTAGAAGGAGGGAATTTATATTTCTCTTGAAGGTGATTAAGCTGGCCAAAGAAACGGCTAACTTGTGGTTTGTTAAACCCAACAGCCCGCGCAATGCTAGTCGATTCGGGAGTTCTTAAAACAATATTAGGATATTTTTTTCTAAAACTGTAAAAAAAGTCCTTTCCTGCGACTCCCTTCTCTTTATTAAATCTATGAGGGATTTTGAGGTTTTCTGCCAAATCAAACGCTAATTTTAAAAACTCCTTCCTACTTAATGGCATAAGACGATTGTCCAGTTCTTTAACATGCTCATATAGTTGCATAGAAAAGTTTTCAGAAAATGTGGTTTCAAATCGCCCCAACTTCGGGTAAAAAGCAACCTCTTTGCCACTTTTCAAAACTTTCAGGCGATCGTGAAGTGAGCTTCTTGGGACATCAAACCTGTCTGCCGCTTGTCTTACAGATTACTTTCCTTCCATCACATTTTTAACAGCTTCTTTCATTTTATTTTCGTCCCATTTTCCTCTATCGCTAATTCTTCCCTTAAATTTCGGCATATTTTAGATCTTTCTGCAACAATAGTAAAAACATTTTAAAATATTTTCCATAAAAAAGCAAACTGACAAAACAATTGTAATTTGTTGACACAATATTGCGAAATTCAAAACTTAAACCACTGTCCGGAGGTACCCGACATTATCGTGTCCGGGGGGTACCCGATCGTTATCATTTAACATTTTTAAACACAGCTCTTAAATAGTTAATAAATTGTTTAAAATCCTGTTACAAACTTCAAATGTATAAAATTGGCTACAACATAAATAATAGACAAGTTTACACACTTACGTATTGTACTTAGTAATCCTTCAATGAAGTTTGACAGGAGCGACGAAGTTTTTTTGGCGGGAACAAAACACACACTCACGGGTAACTAGCTTGGCGGCCACACCGCAACTGAGTTGGATTTGCTTTTACTCCAGACGGCGCACATTCATAGTAAAGTTTTACCTACGCAACGTGTTTAGTTTCTTTGATATTTAAATGTCCGGCGTTACCCGCCGTCCGGGGCTACCCGACTTTCCCCTATCGCACGTTAGGGTTGATATAAAAAAAATCACTTCCCACTTTACATATAGGGGGGCTACCCTAATAAAACATTTTTTTCCAATTTTTATTTTACCACTTTGTCGGCGTGATTGATACACGTATTGGTACCAAATTTCAGCTTTCTAGTGCTAACGGTCACAGAGATTAAGCGAGGACGGACAGACGGACATGGCGAAACTATAAGGGTTCCTAGTTGACTACGGAATCCTAAAAAGGCCGAAATATGCACTTAAAACTGTTGATATGCTCATGTGAAATATGCATAATGAAAAATAAAAATAAACATTTTTATATATTTTAATTAAAGACTACAAAACCAGCGAAAAATTCTTGTTCTTAAAATTATGCATAGTGTTTATGAAATTTTTGAGCACAAATTTTATGTAGTGTAGAGGTAAGGAGTACAGCCTGTGTATTAAAGTGTCTGTAGAAAACTTATTATTAAATAAATGTGGCGCAACTATAGCTACGGGGTAAATTTTAAAGAACGTGCCGAAAAATATTAGTGGGATAGACGACTTTCTCGAGGTTATATTTACTAAATAAAATTATTTTAGATTTTAAAGCTACTGAGCAGTTAAGCAGCACACTTCACATCGTCGTTAACTGCTAAGTTCATTTCATGTAACTGTTTTCTGTAGCTTCTTTGTAAGAAAGCACACGCGATGGTGCTTTTAATAACACTTTTTTTTTTGTAGAAGAAATCAATTTGTTAACATTCCCATACTCTTGCCTAAGCTCTTCGCAAGGCGATGAAACCTGTGAGCTAAACAAGTAATGTGCAGTAAATTTGGATAGTTCAGTTAGCCACTGCGCTCGCGCCCTTCACGTCTTCGTTACCTAGGTTCCTATACGTACGTCCCGCTACTAAACGAAATATGCACGATTAGGGAAAAAGGCTAAAATATGCATTCACGCCGTAATTCGAAAGTTATATGTATTTGCATACACAAATATGCATATGCATAAAATTCGATGTGTAGTCATTACACAATTCATATGATATAAAAGCTTTTCGCGAGATATTAACTTTCGAAGAATCGAGTAAATATAGATATCTATGGGCCACAGCATCCACTTACCATCAGGTGGACGGTGTGCTCGTGTGTCACCCTTATCCCATAAATGGACTTGCCGGCTCATCACAAAGAATCTATTAATCCGACTCGGTTTCATTGCGTGGAATTCCAGTGCCTGGTGGGTTGCCGCTGAGCGTGGACTACCGGTCGCCGGTGTCGCACTTCGTGCCGCCCGCCGTCGAGCTGTACGCGGCGAGACACAAGCCGGAAGTTAATACAGGTAAGTGATTTAACCAGGTTCATCACAAGCGGTGAAATTGTGTGTAGGTACTATTCGGCGTGAATTCATGCGCGAATTCACGACACAAGTTGTGCCCGCCGCATTCACGGGATGCTCACAATCGATCGTGAAACCCGTCGCGAAACGGACGTAGAAGCTGCAGCTGATATAACCTTATTTGCTGTGGTAACTTAGTCATATTAGACGTCCAAAACAAGAAATTTATTAGAAAGCGTTGGAAAAAAAGATGGATGATTAAAATACATCGTCCGTCCGCCTATGTAGTCCGAAACGAACTGGCACGGGGCCGTGAATGTTGATGTGTACGCGTGAACGCCGCGCGAAGGGTGCGTGAACCCTTTGTTGCGGAACAAAATACCGACTCTGAGCGGGGAACAGGCGTAAACGCGCGTGAATCCCGCGAAAACCGTCCACATTCACGTTCACGCCTGTTTACGGAGCTTCACGGCGATAATGTGGAGCCGCGGTAAGAGGTTTATTGTAGCCATATATTTGTTACAATGAAAATATTTATTTATTTTATTTAATTGAATAAGGTACGCAGACAGTTAATTTTAGAAGTTTATATTACTATAAAGTTCTTAAATTAAAAGTATATTGGTGTTGATCTAAACTGCAAACCAAAAAATTGTACACAGTATAATAATATTACTGCAGTAGAAACTTTAAGTAGTCAAATGATTATGACCTAATCACACTTCCATATTATAAACATTAAAAAAGAAGTTAATTGATAGAATCAGGCGTTACTTTGCGGAAATCCATTATAATACTGCCCAACTAAGCGCAAAAGCGGTATCTCAATGGAAGCGAGTTTCGACTTAGTTGACGTTATGTAAAAGTGTTTTAGTTTTTGCTTTATATTAAGATTTTTTGTTTATCAAGTAATATTTATAATATAACATTGGGTCTATTTGTTATCAAAATAATTGGAATATCAAAAATCTTTGTGTAAATACCTTATTCATGAGATACTGCTACATTGCTTAGTGAATTAAAGAATTAAAGTTTGAGTTACCGCTTTTTTGTTACCTCTTCTCCTACATGTCTGTATATAAAAAGATATAAATCTTTTGTGTATAAAAAAATGTGTTATTTTAAAGAAAAAACTCAGTCAATATATGTTAACAAAATCTTTTATTCATTAAATTTGAAATGGCATACATAATATATAGCAAAAGAAACGGTTTCTATGAAATTAAGTCAAATGATACAGGGAGATCTCTTCAAAAGGACATTCTATTTTGGGGTATAATATTTTGAAAGGATTTCAAAATATTTTCTTTTTTGCTTTTAGAAATGCCTTCCGGAGCAGTTTTCCCTTTTTTGGTGGTGGCAAAACTTGAGCTTTTAAAATTTTATTTCCGATTATGCTCGCAGTGATAGGGTCCTTATTGAATCCAGTTCTGTATGTCAGATCAAAACTGCCCCTGTTGACCTCTACTTCGACCATTTCATTAATATATGGACGCGGTGCAATTCGAGACAGTTTATACTGTGTCGTGTTATCTTCCCAGTCATAAAAATCTTGTAGAGACATCTCTTTAGGTTTTACATTTTTCCTGCAGTAGTAACTGCCTGAGAAAAGTCAGCAAAGTCATAAATTTTGTTTTTCATGCGATTCATAGATAACCACCCTGTGGTGGAAACTGTCGGCAGACATAAAAGTGTGGCCTGGTTCGAAATATTTGATCACGATCTTGTCGGCGTTGATGTCATTTGAATTGACTACGTAAATTAAGAACGAAAAAAATGTCCAATTTTTGTTTTGTGACGAACAATTGTCGACCCACAGTATGATTTTCTTTTTTATCTCGATGAAAAATAACAAAATGGAGGTATGCGCTTATGATTTCAGATTTGGAGCGTCCAAATAATCCTTCATACCATAGTACAGGAAAAACACTTAAACCTTTTCTGCCTTGACCAGTGGGCATGAAACTTTCATTATAAGCAACTATCCTGTGGGTGAAAATAGCAGTTTTGAACATGTCTATCCTGGGCAGCATGATAACTTTTTGTAAGTCGGCAGAATATACAACAGTACCAATTTCATTTAGCTCACTGTCTAATTTATATTGTGCTCTCGACATAGTTGCCCGTTCATTATGACTTGCCCACTTTGTGCAACCTAAACAGCCTTCTTGGAGATTTTTTTTGTGTGTGTATTGTCATGCAGACGGAATTCTTCACAGTCCTCACACTCTTCGTGGCCAAGCTTCAAGAAAGATATATTTAATGCTGCGATCACTTCTCGGTATTTGTCGTAAGATACGCTGTGAGAGGGATTTTTTTCTAAAAAGTCTCTGTGCATCGCATGAATTGTCAAATCACTGGGTAAGTATAAGCGATTGGGGGCGTGCTCACGCCTATAATGAGATATACTAGGCTCGAAGCTCATTATATGTTCCTTTATAGGATTTGAGTCAATCTTATTATGAGGAGCAGCTCCCAGTCTCCTATCTACTGGCGGTGCAACTGTCTCCTTGCAATTGGCCAAAGCAGTCTGTAAAGGTTTATCGTTAGATAGTTTGTAGCCCAAAGTTGTCAAGAAGAATGTTTTACATACTCCATACGATGTCCCATTCCCGTCTTTAAGTGAATAACTGTAGATTGTTTTTTTCCTGTAGTCTTCTGATTCAGATCTTGTTACTGTTCTTTGTTTCACAGGTTTTGCTGAAGTGTGATGCAGCATAAATGCCTTCCTTTCTTTATCACCTAAATTCCAGAAGCTTTCATTTATAATTTTTCGTTGATCCTCTGATATATTCTGGATACATAGCCTTTTGCAGGAAGCTGGACAGGGTGGTTGTAAGCCATGTTTTTCTCTTATCTCATTTTTTTCGCGTCTTTCCTAACATTGAGTGGTTGGTTGCATGTTTTTCTTTTTCTAATTGTACCTGCTTTTGTATAAGTTGTAAAATCATGTGTATTATCATTAGTTCTCTCATTTTGTGTCAGATTTTCAGTGTCCCTTAGATTAACACTCCTTGTGACTTCGTTTCCTCGGAATGGATCCTCTACCGATCTTTCTTGTTCAGCATGTGACCCACTTGATTTATTTGTTAGAGGGTCAGCAGTATAATTCGTATTTTCAAAAACAGTTATCATTGTTTGGTCTGTGTCAACTTGAAAAGTACAGGGCCTTTGCTGATCATTTGTCTGATCAGTCTGTGTGTGATCAGTCTGTGTGACCAGAGTTCCAGTACTAGCGCTATCTACATTACAACCATTGTCTTTATCAGAACAAAGTACTGGCGACGATGTTTCAGTTAAAATATTATATTCAGTAATTGGCACAGTCGTTAATGTAATCAAAGAGTTCATGGAAATGTTGTTCTCGGTTTCTGCGTTCTGATCGTGTTGATGCTGATTGAAATAGTCAACTGTCGATGTGGATGGGCCCGAAATACCGATTTCTGTGTTCTGGTCTTGTTGAGGTTGATTTAAATAGTCAACTGCAGTTGATGTAGATAGGCCCGATACGAAGTTAAATTCTACAGATTCGAGATAATTTGACGGATTATTAATCTGAGCCAGTGATTGGTCTGCACTATCGTATCTTGAAAATGGAAGATCGTCATCTGAATCACTGCTATGGAAAAAGTCAGGATCGATATTTTGAATATTAAGTTGCAAATATTTTGATTCTTTAAACTTTTCTCTCAATGCCTTATTTTTTTGTGCCAGTAGCATCATCATTTTCGTATTTCTTTGTGACATCGTTTATCTGAAACAATATTCGTTTATAAATATTTAATAATTTTATTGACATAATAGGTAATATTTTTTTTGTATTTTTCTTGTATACAATAAAGTGTTCTTTACAGTAGAAAAGTAGAGTAACTCTACTCCAACAAAAAGTTTCACACATTCACCATAAATTGGTAAATTCTTAATCTGAATAAAAAAGGTTTGGGAATAGGTATAATCAATTGACATGACAGCGAGTAGTAAATAAAGTTCCGTTTCGCTTTGTACGTTTGGCGAGAGTGCCGGCCGAACGAAAGTTGGAAGAACCTTAAATTTCAATGTTGAGTATGATTGTATTGTACTAAAATTATGTTTACAGGACTTACCTGACTCGCGAAACACAAAATTACATCACTAAATACGTTAATTCACCATTCTTTACTTATTTAACACGGTAATTACAAGATTACGATCTAATTGCAACGAAAACAAACGAGTTATGACGCGAATTTGTCAACAACACGAATAAATCACCATAAAATGTATTAGAAATCCGATCGTATCGTTTATACCATAAGGGCCAATTTTATATGCCACTGCAGCCGTATCTCATGTAGTCCAAATGATTTGCGGATCAAGTAACCATTGTAATACTAAGCGTCATAGCGGTAAGTCAGTAGTTTACTCGTTGTACATATTTGCCGCTATTTGGCTTAGAAAAAGTGTTGTTCTTTATTAAGAGATTTGGCGGTATTCAATTATACGGCTAGTTGCCTTCGTGATATTGATATACCTCTAATACTCTTAGTGATTTGAGGTATAACTGAGATAGGAAAATATTTCTTAAGGCTTTTTTCACATGTTTTGAACAAGATACCGCTAAAAGGCTTAGTTCATTAGATGCGTATTTTTTTAAGCTATCCGATGACATAAAAATCGAATTTTCGGTATTTTTTTGAGATACCGCTTTTGCGCTTAGCAGGGCAGAATAGAGATATTAATAGTTATTTTGCAACCATCCGCGCAATTAAATAAAATGATGTGCCTTACCAGGTTTGAACAGCACCTCCCCCGCCCTCCCTCAATTGCGTGCACTAATCCCGTCACCACCAATCCCAGCACCACTCAGGCATACTGGTTTTTCATTTGCACCGATGCGTATTTTAAATGAATAAGAAGCCATTCGAAACTTTTGTGGAGCTTCAGTAGTATGTCTCTTAGGGTATGACGATGAAATCAAACTAATCAAGTAAGCATCTTGATTGTTTTTGTTGCCCAACTTATTGAAATGTTG